GGTGCCACAACACCTGGGAGGGAAGTGGCCGGTCAGCTCCTCCCCTACGGTGGGCGGGGCCACAGGGAGCGGGAGGCGGGTGGAGGCTGGTCTCACGACCCTGACAAGGGGGCAAAGGCAAGATCCCAGGACCACTACTCTCTCCATCCCTTGAGCACTGGCCACAGGGTCGCCGGGAGTCGCCGTCCCTGCCCTTCTACGAAGGGGGCCAGGTAGGCCCTAAACCTGGAACAGAGCGGTGGGTCCTACGGTCTCCCCTGTAGGCTACCCCGAGAGATGGCCGTCCAGACTTGACCTCCAGGCACCCAGCTAATCGTTCCTGGTTCATCACCCTGGTCTTTAAATGGTGGCAAGTAATTCAGAAAAAGTTTCACACACCGAGGGGGCCATAAACGCCTCTGCGGGCTGTGTCCGGTGTGTGGCCTCGGGGTGAGGAGTCCCCAGGGATCACAGGAGCGCCACTGGGGCACCAAGTGTTAGTGCAAAGGTGCTCACCGCTGAGTCACAGAGAAGATGGAAAAGGAGAGAACAGCTCTATTTTTCTTCCACGGGGGATGGATAATTACGGTCCATCAATGCAAAGCACAGGCGTGTGACTCAGAATCTAAGGATACCTGTACCAATGCACACAGGGCTCCCAGATACAGCATTAAGTGGGAAAAGACCCCAAGCTGTAGAACAGCAGTTGTAATTCAAGCCCATTCCCATAAAAACGATGATAAACGTATTAACTACTGCAAGCTACAGTCTGCCAAGTTACTGGAAGACAGATGCACCCATTCACTTACACACCGTCTATGGCTGCTTCAGCCCTACAATGGCAGAGTTGAGCAGTTGTGACAAACACCATATGACCAGCAAAGCCTAGAATATTAACTGTCTGGTCCCTGGTATAAATTAAAATATTAAGAAATTGAAACTGGGCACTTCCTTGACGGTTCAGTGGTTAACACTTTGCCTTCCGACGCAGGGGGTGAGTTCGATCCCTGGTCGGGGAACTAAGATCCCACATGCCTCTCGACCAAAAAACAAAAAACATAAAAACAGAAGCAATACTGTAACAAATTCAACAAAGACTTTAAAAATGGTCCACATCAAAAAAAAAAAAAAATCATAAAAAAAAAGAAATTGAAATTGAACTGGGATATGAGGTGAGACTGCTGAGACTGATGTGTTTTATATTTCTGTGGTATTTGGAATTTTAATAATATGCATGTAGAGCCCTGTAAGCAAAACGAAAAAGATTAAAATGATATTTACACAAGGTTAATAACATGAAAAGGATGTTATAATGTTAACTCAGAAAAAAGATATAAAAATTCATAATCAGAGCTATTGCAAAAAAACACTACAAAGGAAAAGAAAATAGGAAACAGCCAAAGTGTTAACTGTGCTTGTCTCATACGGCTGGATCATGGGTAATTTTTTCCTTCTACCTTTTCTTATTCTCCTAAATTTCAATGTGTCCATAGTACTTTTGAAATGGAAAAAAAGAAATTTCATTTTTAAAGAAACACCCAGGAAGGGAAGATTAAAACACAAAACAAAACAAAACAAAACTCAAGGATGGCCCATTGCTTTTCTCCTTTTTTTTCTGCTCCCAAGTATAGCTTTTCAAATTCCAGGCTAAGGCCTTGTCCTCTGCCATGACCCATTAAATCCCACGCTTTGCAAGTGGGATAAGCCCTTTGAAAGGTCAGAAGACAAGATCTACCAAATACCATCCAGATATTTCATCCTTTGACTCAGTAATCCATGATGAAAATTATTCAACAAAGCCAAAAACCATTTCCAAAGATGATGTTGACTATGATGACAGCTCTGAAGACAAAAGACCGGGAGAACTCAAGCGGCCGTGCATGGGGTGTGGTTTCAAACGTGATGGCACAGTCATGGAGAGAATGAAAGGCCACCATGGGAACCAGCACCCTGAAGCTTTCACAGGAATCTAGGGAGGGTAAACGTGCCATGATAAAGGCGGGAGCTGAATTTGGAAAGCTAGGTGGATTTCAACTGTGAGTTTTTAAACAATTCTTGGACATTATTTTTATCTTTTAATTTTTTTAATTTTTTTTGCCCGCACCACGCTGCTTGCGGGATCTTAGTTCCCTGACCAGGGCTTGAACCTGGGCCCCGGGCAGTGAAAGCGTGCAGTCCTAACCACTGAACTTCCAGGGAATTCCCATATCTTTTTTTTTTTTTTAATTTACTTGTTTTATTATTTATTTTATTTTTTGAGATTTTTGGCTGTGTTGGGTCTTCGTTGCCGTGTGTGGGCTTTCTCTAGGTGCCACGAGTAGGGGCTGCTCTTTGTTGCGGTGCGCGTGCTTCTCATTGCGGTGGCTTCTCTTGTTACGGAGCACAGGCTCTAGGTGCGCGGGCTTCAGTAGTTGTGACTCGCGGGCTCTAGAGCTCAGGCTCAGTGGTTGTGGCGCATGGGCTTAGCTGCTCCGCGGCATGTGGGATCTTCCCGGACCAGGGCTCGAACCCATGTCCCCTGCATTGGCAGGCGGATTCTTAACCACTGCGCCACCAGGGAAGCCCCCCCACCCCACCCCGCAACCATATCTTTTAAAATTCCTAGCTGAGGATCTCAAATCTGAGAGTTGCGAGAGTCCATCTGTCTGCTTCTCTGAGTTCCAAGCTCTGAAAACTAGTTTTAAGGTCAAGATCGTACCTTCTTGATGGTGCTGAGGTTGGCATTTCGGGACACAGGGAAGTTCAGATAGACCCCCGTGGGCAGCAAGAAATCAACGGCCACGCTCTGATTCTCCTCCTTGGTCCAGAATTCCATGGGGCAGTCAACCCCGGGGGGCATCCTGCTCTTTTAATTCTCGGATACCAATCGTCCTGCAAAGGAAGCAAAGGCAAAGTGAGGCCCTAAGGTGTGCTGGGTGAGTCCTTTAATAGGGCCCTTTGGAAAACAG